TACTTAGAAAAAGTAGGACTTGATTGTTCAAGTACAAATTTAATAGTACCGACTTGTTTTTTGAAACCAAAAATAAGCCGTATCAATGTTTTTCCCAATTTGGAATTACTTGAATGTCAGTAATGTCCGTCCTATAGAGTAACTTTCCACAATTTTAAAGAAGTTGACGTGGCGTGAGAGGAGAGAGAGAGTCCTTTTCCGTGTCCCGGATGCGTAACTTGCTTATCAAAGTTGTTGTTGCTTATCACAACTCAGACAGGCTCCGTTCAGCCCAAATGATTTCTGAGTCTCACCTTCCAAATAATATCTTATTTCTGATGAGTAGGACATGGGAAAATTACAATTCCTTCCCTAAGGGCTCTCACAAATTGTATGGTTAACCTTGTAGCTTTTGAAATTACACTACAGCCCTATCTATGGAACATCAATGCCCACCCCCCTACCCACGAAACAACACAACCAAGACACACACACGCACACACAAACATTTAATACAGTGTGCAGGGTTCGATAATAATTTCTCCTTTATTTGGACAAAATTCAGACTCATGCACCACCCATTGTTGCTTCTCTATATTGTTTGCATCATTATAGTGGTGGCACCACTGAGGATGAAGTTGGCCAAATCTATAAATTGATTTACTGGTAAAGATAAAAAAAACATCTATAGTCATACTCTTTATCTATCTATCTATCTCTTTATCTATGCTAGTTTATACATATTTTTGCATGTGGGAGGTTATGTTGATGGTGTTGTTGATAGTGGTCAAGTTTTTTAGTATTACTTTAGGGTACGGTTTGGATTTGGTTAGCAAAGTTTAGGTCACGAGGTTTTGTTTAGGTCAAAAAGTCACGAGATTACTCAAAAGGAAAAATTGGATATTTTGATGATGTCAATAATTTAAGTTGTTAACTTGACTATTGACAAACATAACAATATAATTAAAGAAACTATGATGATATCTCCTTAATTTGAGTTAACCATGAGGGGCTGAATGTAATTCTTTCTATTAGTATAAAAACAATACATAGAATATGATTTTGATCATGATCATGATCATATCAGAATGGCATGTGAACGTCAGTTGGGTTTGAATATTCTTGTTCAACTGCCAAAAGAAAGATTAAATTATTGTGTTCAAAAGTTGTTTTTGCCACTCACTGGCTGGTTGTTTGTTAAGAAAGGTAGGTTTTTTTTTTGGGTCATGATAAGAAAAATAGGTAAATATTCAGACTTCAGATACTACCTCGAACTTTGTTTTACTGTTTTTTTAACCTTTTTTAATTGGAACACTGTTTGCTGGTATATTTGCCTTAAGATTTATGTCATTGATGAATATGACATATTTTTATGGTGTATTTGGATTAATTTATATGTGCTTTGATTATTTTTTTTTTAAGTTTAGTCAAAGACAAATCATCTATGCCGAGACTATAGAATTCACTAGAGAAATACATCATCATGATTTTTGGCTCTAATGGTTCGTTTGTTTAGCTGGAGAATGGTAAATAATGCAAGAAAGAGAATTTTTTAAAAATTTTCATGTATTTGGTTAGCATGAAAAAGAAAATGATAGAAAAAATAATTTTCTTTTATACTTGAATTTTTTCACAAATAACTAACTTTTTTTCTTATAAAAAATATAAGGAAATGCAAGAAAATTGTGATATATAACTAACTTCCCATTTTACCCTTATTTTTCTTAAAATATTTTATGGGTTATTAATTTTTAAAAAAATTTGGTATGAATTTGATTAATCTATAATTTGGTCCAAAGACCTTTGTATTGGTGATTGTCTTAGAATTAGTTTTCGAGTCACTTTTTTAAATTTCTTTAACTTCAATTATAATTAAATATTTTTTTCTTTTTTAAACCGATTTAATATAATTAAGGATAATTTAGACAATTATAAAAAATTTCTTATAACTTTACTTTCTTTCAAATAATAAAATAAATTTATTTAAAACTTTCTCATAAACTTTTCATTCTAACCAAATACATACATAGAAATATATTTTCTATTATTTTCTTTTCTTTCAGTTCACTTTCTATTATTTTCTTCTTCCTAATCAAACGGACCCTAAACGATTTGTCAAATTTAAAATTTATGACGTCTGAGTTTACAATTCGTCTTTATCTCCGATAAGCTGCGAGAGATTACATATTCACCCTTTGACAAACATGTAAAAAGCCAGTTGCATCTGGTTTTACTTTTGGATTTGGTTCCTACCCACACAAGAAAGAGCAATGCTATTGGGAGTTAATTTATTAACCTAATTTGATAAGTTAATTCACTATAACTTTTGGATTGACTGTAAGCTCCATCAAATATTGAAACTTGATGTTAATTCAATGGTTCTAATGCAGTCACGTCATTATATTAACAAATTATATCAAATTTTTAGGTCTAAATAGTATTTTTTCACAATAAAAATGGTCCGGTAAATGCCATTCTCACACTATCCTGTGTAAATAAAACTATGGAAACACCATGACCATATAAAATTTTCCAACTTATTTTACATGTTGAGGAATATTGGATGGATATTGAGGAGAGTAAATTTGACTTTCTTTTCAAATATTTTTCTCAAACAATCCACCAATAATTTTTTGTATCAACATGTATAAACTATTTTTTATTATGGCTGCAGTTTATGACTCGCGAGATATAAAGATGCTCCGCCCTCTCCAAATCAGGGGCCAGCCCACATGGGGATCAGGGTAGGCACTTGTCCCCTCACTTTTGGACCACTTTTGATCAAAATTTATTAAATTATTAAATATATTATATTTGTCCTTATAAATTTTAAAAATTTTAATAATATTTTTTTTTTCTAATAAATTAGTAGTCTACTAACCTTCTAAAACAAATATTTTTTTGATTGCATACTAAAGATAAAAGGTTGTAACCTAAAAATATTTCAAATTATTTTGAATAATTTTTTTTCTATAAGATCGATGATTTCAACTAAGTTTTACAACTAAATAAAGAATGATTTTACTTTAGACTTATGATTGTGCTCGATGATAGAAAATTAGTAAAAAAATTAATTTATATTCAATTAATATACAAAATGTTAAAGATTTTAAAGAACATTATATTTTATTGAAATATATAATCGGATTAAAATGTACTAAAAAATTATTTTTTGTTTTTTTTTGTTTAGATTTTGTTTCACCTAAATAAATTAACATTATTATTTTGCAATAATTTTGTCTCGACTCTTAATTTTTTGACATTGTTGAACTTAATTTTTTTGTATCAATTATTACATTATTTTTAATTAATAGATAAAAATGATATAATTAAAAAAAGGAATAAAAAATATTATTTAATATAATAAAATCAATTTTTTAAATAATTAAAATTTACTTTTGACTGTACTTGCAGACACGCATCATGACTAGTTCTGAGAAGAGTCTTTCTTGTTTGTGACCTGGGAAAAGAAAAGAAAAACAGTGTCTGTTATTTCCAATCTTAGAAAATGAAATCTCTAACAAAAGTACATAGAATAAGAAATCCTTAACGAAGTGCTACGGCCACTCACCTCTTCTCAACCACAACAAATTTTGCGCGTGCATTAACAGAACATCCCTCCGATCTCCTACAATAATTGGTGACATTGATGATACCGTATCACTTTTATATCTAATATTTATTTAAAAATATTTTGTAATATTAAAAGTTGAATATTAATTATATAATATTTATATATTAAATAATAATTTATTTTTTTAATTATATAATTTAAAATTGAAGTGAATATATAAGAAAAATAAAGAGAGATAAGAGAGTAAAGAAAGAAATACATATGAATTAATGAAATCAAGTCCATAAGTTGAATTGTCTGACAGTGAGACTCGTATAGAGAAAATGAAGGTTTTTAAGTGGAAAAAAATTTTGGTTATGAACTTTATACTATTTGATCAAAATAAATAAAAATTGAATCAATTTTGACAGTTATTATGTTTTTATAAGTTGAGAATTCAATTTCTTAACTGTAATATTGAATAAATTATATATGAATTAATATTTTCAATATATAAACTAGGTATGAACTATATTTGTACAATATTCATAGTGGGATATTGAGGTTTTAGGATCTAACTCAAATCCAATTTGAAAATGAATTTGAATTCAAATCCTTAAATCATTATTCTAAATTGAATTACATAATTGGAGAGTTAAACTTGTGTATAAACTGAGTTGAACATATATTAAATCTAAATTTTAGCTCGATTTGTTTAATAGGAAAATCAAACCCATCTTCAATACAAAATGATCAAATTAAAAAGTTTTATTTATTTATTTTTTTTTGGAAGGACAAGAGAGACCTAAACCATAACTGACTGAGTTTTCAAAAGTCTAAAATGAAATTAAAGAGTTTGAATTAAATTTAAAATTGAGATTGAACTTTTTTTAAGGTAAATAATTAAATTTAAATGTAAAGTTTTCAAAATTTAGTTCAATATTTTTATTTTTTATCCAATAAAAAATGATGCATGTGAATTTTTTTTGTTTCATTATTTTTAATTTAAGATTATAAATTATTAAAATTAAATTAACGATTACATATCAACTTCGATACGATATGCCAACAAGAAGCAGTCGACTATGGTACTGATGGTCCCGGAGATTTGAAATTTAGTTATAATTTTTTTAAAGTATTTAAGATCGATCTTAACGTTTTTAAGATTGATCATAGACACTTAAAAATTAATCCTAAATATTAGGATCGATTTTAAAATATTTATAACTTAATTTTCAAAAATTTATAAACTGACCCCAAACTTATCCCCCAACAAGAATCTGCAAGTCGCATCCACCAGGCGCGTGAGAAGTACTAAAAGACAAAAACCCTCACAAGTGTGGGGGACCTTTTCGTATTTGGCCGTACGTACGTCCCATTACTTTCTCGGAAAAATCACTTTCTTCGCAATCTACTCAGACCCAAATCATATGCCCACTTCATTTTTCTCAGGTACAAACGCCACAAGATGCATCATTTTTCACCTCATCAGGGGAAGGTCGTTTCTATACACATCTGTATCTATGTATATATATATATATATATTCACCATGGGATCTCCAGTATACATTCATTTACAGCTTATTCATAATCAAGCAACCCAGTAATCGCATCTGTGCATATTTTGTTCATCTTTGGGGTAGGAGGTGACGTGGATTTTGGCCATGGATTTGGAATGGCTGTTGGAGTACTTGAAGGGTATGTTGAAGCCAACTTTGGCTCTTGTTGTGGTGCTCATGGCTGTGATATTGTCATACATGCAGAAGTTGGGTTTGGGCGGTGAAATGGTTTATTCAATCTTCAGAGCTTTTGTTCAGCTCTCTATTATTGGATTTGTTCTTGAGTTTATTTTCACCCAGAAGAACGTTGGCTGGATTGTCCTCGCTTACCTTTTCATGGTATGCTTCTCTCTCTCTCTCTCTCTCTCTCTTTGACTGGTGAAAAAATGTTAGGAAATAGAAGGAACTTCTGAATATTATTGTTGGCTGTCGGTTCGGTTTACTTTAATTTCATGGTTCAATTCTATTAAGCGAAACATTGATCCAATGGATTTTAACTGAGAGGTGGTTATTGTTCCCAACTGTTATCTTGTTTTCTTGCTTTCACAAGCAACCAGATGGGAATTTTTTTCTTTTTCTGGAGTTTTATATTCTGGGTTATTCCTCATGGTTTTTCTTTGTTGAAAACCAGAGTTTTGGTTTTTGTATTGACTGTCAATGTTGGACTATGGTGAAGAATTTGGCTTGAATTTGAGAGAATTTTTGACGGTGAAGAACAAGGAAAAATGGGACTTATTTGTATTTAAATTAAATTTCATATGCTCAATTGCAAGTTACTATTCCAACCATCCATTTTTTCCCTTCAAATTTCCTTCCCTTTGCTGTCTGAAAATTATTGTTTTTGACTCTTTTGTTCTGCTTATATCACGGATTATCCTCCTTAGTCCTTTACTTTAATGGAATTGCAATAGATACAAATGCCAGAGCTTGATGTGTACAAAACAAGTGCTTGACAAAATTTCTTTTCCTCCTCAAAATTCCCCCAAAATTTCACCCAAATCGTATGTCTAATATTTAGGCAGAATTGGTCTAGTAAACTACTACTAAACGTATTTTTTGTTTTTTTACAAGTTTTCTCCATTTTTTTTCCAGTTCTCGACGTTTCTCTCTACCTTTGAGTAGTGCCTAAATTGATCCTCATTTCAGCTTTCACATCTTGGCTGAATCTGAACTTGCACTACTTTATGCAATTACTTGCCCATATTCAAAACCATATCTGATCAAGTCAAGAAAATAGAAATTCTTAATGAGGACTTTGAACCTTGAGTTTTTCACAAAAAAAACAGGGAGAAAGCAGATGAACTTTATGACAAAGAGATGAGTTCATGCATACTTATATGCATGAGTAGTGAATTCAAAATCTCTAGTGATGGAAGAATAGTAATTCCCATGCCGCGTCTAAGTGGATGACACCCCATATATAAATGAACCGCAGATCAATGTTTTGGATTTCTCTGCAGTGTCCTGTTTTGGAGTTCTCTGCAGTGTGCTTCTTGCAACACTATGTGAAAAACAAAGGGGATTAGTTGGAGCTTTTTCTTGTGAAAAGACAGTCTAAAAATTCTAATCTGAGGATGTGAACCTGTTTTTATTGGCAGATACTCTGTTTGTATGGGGGCTTTGTTTAATTTTGTTACCGTTAGTGAGTTAGTTTGTAGGGAGATATGGCTATGACACTAATATAACCCATTTACACCTGCAACTGCAAGTGGTCTTGCTAACCACTGAGCACTCGATTCCTTCAGTACAGTCCTTACTAAATAAATTTGGGGCATTAGTTTTGATTTCTTTTTCTTGTTATCTTTTAGTATTTTGAATGAATTTTTTCCTGTGATGAATGATGATTGATTGCTTATGAGAATCAGGGAGGCTTATCACTTCAATTGCATTGCATGATCGTGCTGTTGCAGGTTTGTGTTGCTGGTTATACAGCAGGCCAACGCGCTAAACATGTCCCTCGTGGGAAGTATGTTGCAGGAGCCTCCATTCTGGCTGGAACAGCAGTGACAATGTTCTTGTTAGTTTTGTTGAATGTTTTCCCTTTCACTCCACAGTATATCATCCCTGTTGCTGGGATGATGGTTGGCAATGCAATGACGGTGACTGGGGTTACAATGAAAAGACTCCGAGATGACATCAAGATACAAATGAGCCTGGTAGGTCCTAATAACTGAACACTTGGGGAAGATCTTTATACTATTTGGTAGATTGGCCTTACCGAATTTTTTTGCAAGACTTCATTTAATCTTCCTCTAGTGACAAACATATTGGCCCGAGTCTTCCGTCTGGCTGTTTCTAATCTGATTACTTCCTATCATGAAACTGTGGGCTGATCATCTGTATAGATTAGGAAAATTGTATATCAATGTCAATGACAACGCTCTATCATCCTCCATTTGCTTTATACTAATTGAATGTGCTGATTAACTAATCGACAATGTTCTATTATCTGATTATCAAGTCATCCACATGGGTTAAAGTAGCTTTCATGATTTGGCATCACAACTTCATATGATTTCATATTGCAGGTGGAGACAGCATTGGCTCTTGGGGCTACTCCCCGTCAAGCAACGCATCAGCAAGTGAAAAGGTCTCTTGTTATTGCACTCTCCCCTGTTTTGGACAATGCCAAGACCGTTGGTCTCATATCACTTCCTGGTGCAATGACTGGCCTTATAATGGGAGGAGCTTCGCCATTGGAGGCCATTCGGTTGCAGATTGTTGTAATGAACATGCTTCTTGGGGCTTCAACTGTTAGCAGTATCATGTCGACATACCTCTGTTGGCCTGCCTTCTTTACCAAAGCCTACCAGCTAGAAACGAAGGTGTTTATGTCGGATTGAGAATTACTTGATCTTCGTTCACTATGATCATCGCCCTTGACTTAATAAACCAATTCATGAATAGGATAAGCAATACATGAATCAAGAGCCTACTAGTTGGATTTTGCTGTGGATCAAATCTAGTTCTGAATCATAGAACAGAGTCACTAAGCCTGGAGACTATTAAAACCCAAGAAATTGTATAATGTGCAATTTAGTTACATTGTTCTCTCTCTCTCTCTCTCTCTCTCTCTCTCTCTCTCTCTTAGTAATTGCAAATGTTATTCATGAATCCATTTGATCAATATTTTCGTGGTGCCTATCAGGCATATTCCTTTAATCCATACCTTCCAAGAAGGCAACAGTGAGTCCAAGTTTCTTCAGCAGGAAACAGATACAAACCTATATATATAGGTAGAACTGGGCTTTTATACGGATAGTAGAGCTCATATTTAACCGATGGGAAATATTTACACCAATGTACACAATGTGACCCACTCTATTAACCATGCATCTTGGTCCTTTCCTACTAAGTCTGTCAATAATTTAATCCAGTTTATAAGTCACCCGTTCCATAACAATACTGACAGGGTGACAACCATTATTGGCTGGAGGTTTGTGGTGGTGGTGAACAGAAGGCCTAAAATAAATTTTGCCATAGGGATTGTGTCTAGGCACCGACGGAGATAGTGACTAGATGTTTACAAGTGTTGTGCTGTAACGTGAGACACAAGTTTTTAGAATTTATTTACAATAAAAAAAATTAGAATCAATTCTAAAATATTAAGATCGATTTTAAAATTTTTATAACTTTTAGGGTCATATTATAATTCTAAGGGTTCAAGTTTAATGTTCTTATCGCGATTGAGGAGCGATGTTAATATAAAGTGTACTAAATAGTCGGATTCAGTTTAGTATGAGCTCCAAAACTATAGGGAATTGGAATTAGGGATAAGTGGGTGATTACATAGAGTGTTTATAGTGGTTCACCAGGTTGAGAGCTCAGCTAATCCACTCTTAAAGGAGTCTCTTGTTTCTGAATATATTGATTACTATGCGAAGTTTACAAAAAATATTTTTGTAAGGCTACAATGACTTTTTTTTTTCCTTTCGAGGGCTTTGCCTCTTATTTATAGCTATTCCTGGGCCTTGCTTTTTCTGAGGCGAGATCCTTGCTCCTCCTTTGTAACGGTTGCCCTTATTGCAAAACGAAACTTGCGCCTGTTGGGTGATTGATGCCACAAAATGGGGACTTGGTGGAGTCCAGTTGCCCTTTGCATAACCTTCCTCGAGAAATGTACATGGGGAGTTGAGGTCTAAGGTCGAGTTCTGTAAATAATATTGATGAGCTGAGCTCTTGACTTGAGTAGCATGACCTGGTTTACCAAGCTCATCCTTAGTTATTTTGTGGTACCATCAGTTGTCCCCCTAGTCCTTGGCCAAATAGGTTCATTTGAGCAGGGATTATGTCATGAGTAAGGTTGCTTGGGGTCAACCTCGATTCACGCATGATGGGACTTCATTTTGACAGTTATGGCGATCATGTAATCATTCTTTTCTTGTTTCTCGCACACGTCCCATATTTCGAGTGTCCACGTACGATTGGCTTTAAATGCTATTGCAGACAAAAAAAACGTCTTTCATTTCCTCGAATCCTCCACATTTTGTCTTCAGACTTTACTTCTTCTCTTCTCCCATTGCAACTTCATCTCCCTAAATTTGTTGAGGATCTAGGGTTTTCAGAAAAATTTCCAATTTTTCTCCAAAGGTTTTGCATGGCTGGCCTAATCTATTCAGACTTTCTCTAGGTTCCTGGTTTGTCGATTGTTCTCATCTTTTTAAGTCCCTTGCTTTGTTCCCTTTTCTTCTCTTTCGTTCTGCATCCCTCGAATTCGAGGTGGTTGTTTAATTTCTGGACTTTTCACTTTTGTTACTTTAGGATTCAAGGTTTTATATTGTCCTTTCTTCCTCTCTTCTTAGATCCCTACTCTACTGCTCTAGTCTTTCTCTTTGGTCACTGGTGTCTCGACCCTTGGGCTCTTAGGGATTGTTTTACTAGCGTTCCCCCTCTTTACAGTTCTTTCAATCTTCCTTTCTCTTGCCCAGTTATGTATGCCTTTTTTGAAGCCACCGCTTCGTCCGTCTCTCTCACCATGGGTAACAGGTCCCCGAAAATAGAGAAGGATAACTTAGGGGATTTCGGTGACGAAATAGACAGCTTCCTTGGGGTTGATGCTGAAGAGAGGGCAAATGTGCCTTTGTCTTTAACAGGGTCTTCTTTGAGTTCTAAGCGATCTTGAAAAGAAAAAGCTAAAAAGGGTAGAGCTGGACCTTCAGGTAGCGTTGAGGGCTTCGAACCCATTCCTTGTGTTTCAGACCTAATAAGGCATAGTAAGGTTACACCTCATTTTATGAGAATCTTGTCTACGAGGTTTGGCTTTCCTAGGGGCATGCACTATTGGATCCCTTCTATAGAGATTATATATGATTCTGAGGTCCCCAAGAAAACTTTCTTCTTTGTAGCTTCTCTAGAAAATGGTCTTAGGTTCCCTATACACCCCTTCATCAAATCTGTACTCTAGCACTTCAATGTCTGCCCTGCCCAGATCTCTCCCACCTTTTGGGGTATCCTAGTGGGCCTTATTGTCTTTTTTAAGAAAAATAAGATCGGTACCCCCTCGGTTCCTTTGCTCATGAAATACTTCAACGTCAAGTTCCAACTTGACAGTTTTTTGTACATCTCCAAATGGGTGAAGACCCCAGCCTTGATTACTGACCTGCCTAGCTCTAAAAAGAATTGGAAGAAAATTTCTTTGTGTCAAATAAGGAATGAGAGTTTGACCTGAGCAATGCCAATGATACCCTTCATATCCCTCGCTCTTGGTCAGGTCCTGACAACCTTTGTGAGTCCTTGTTTAGGGCAGACTCAACTTGGCTCATTTTGTTGTTGTATTTCTCTTGCTGACCTCATTTCCTTGGGTTGTTTCAGGTATTCACCTTGAGCTTGGAGCTGGGGATAGGTTTGCTTTGCTAGGGCTTGAAGATTGCCGCCCGGAGAGGTATTCTGACTTGATCAAGCATTCTGTGCTTACCGAGCTAGGGTTCAGCCCTCCCGGGGTGAGAGTTGAGACTTCGATTCCCATCTCCACTATTGGTGTAGAAAACCCTACTAGTAAGATTCTTCCTCCTTGATCTCTGGTTTTTCTTTTCATTCTTTTTGAGTTAGCTGACCTGTTTACTTTCTCAAGTTCCAGCTCAATGGCTCTAGACGCTGAGGCTGTGAAAGCTAAGATTGTCGAGATGAAAGGCAAAGCTAAGTGCAAGGTTGGAGTAGGCTCTAGGCTTGAACCTCCTTCAAAGGTGCAGAGAACAAAGGTGCCTCCACCCTTTCTTCCACCTTACCTTCCTCCTCACGTGATCCTCTTGCCTCTGCCGACTTCATAGAAGATAGTTCTGACCTCTTCTTCTTAAGGAATCTCTCATCTTCTTGTTGAGGTGTCCGCTGGTTGTGTGGGAGCCTCCTCTTCTCCTTCGTCAGCAGAGGTTGCTGGAGCTCTGGAGTTCATTACTTCTTTCTTACGAGGGCTTTCCTTTTCTTGATCCGTCGAGAAGAGTCCTCATTTGTGAGTGGAGGGTCTACCAACAAAAGTTGAGAAGGGCAATGGTTCACTCATTGGGGATGTAGGCCTTGTTGCTCAGGCCATTGCCTCATTTATTCCTTAATCTGACATTGTGGAGGCCTCGACGATCCCTTTGCATACCTCTACTACTATGGCTTTGTATGCAACAACCTCGATAAGTCTTGATTTCTTTAAATTTCGTTTCTGCTTTGAGCTAAGGTAATTTTTGCTGACCTTGACTTTTTCTTGTGCATATTTAGCTGGCTATCCATGTAAGTGCTTTGGTGAATAGGGTCCGAGCTCTGGAGAACACAGCTGAGCAAGCTCAGAAGTCTTTGAAGCCGTTTGTGCTCAATGTTTCTGACTTTACCAATGACAACCTCAAGGCCCAGGTGTGCGACCTGATGGCTCGGGTTGAGAAACTGACCTCAGCAAACAAGGGCCTGGAGACAAAGGCTAAAAAGGCAAAGGAAGAGCTCAAAGCAAAGGCAAACAGCTTACTTCAAGCTTGCAAGGATGCCTTAGAGGCCCTTGAATCCCTCGATACAATGAAAAAAGACTATGACCTATTGGCTGAGATCAATGCTACTCTGCTGAAGGAGATTGAGGCTGAGAAAGCTGTAGCCCGGGAGAAGGATGCTCTGATTACTGAGCTTAAGGACGAGGCTGCTACCAATTGGGTCACTGGGTACCTTGCTTTTTCAAGAACAAGCTGTAGAGAGATACACAGACCTAGACTTTGAATTTGAATTTCCTTTGGATAAGGAAAAGGAGAAGTCAAGTGTTGAGAAGGAAGCAGAGGCCTCAACTTCTACTGAGGTCTTGATTCCTGGTGATGTCCCTGCTGATCCTAAGGTCCAGACTCTTGGGGTGACTTTGCCATCAGCTAAGGTTGAAGTTCTTGCTCCTATCCTTATTGAGGCTCCTCTCCCTTCAACTGATTCTTCTGCTCCTGAGCCATCTGGGGCTTCTTTTCCTACCGCTGAGCTGCTAGAAACTGCTTATGATCTTGTTGTAGTGACTTAGGATTTTTGGGAAATTTCTATTTTTTTAGAACATCTTATATTTTGTCTTGTATTTTGCTTTTTGTGAAATGAAAATATTCTTTTGAAGTTGTTTTGTACTTTGTTCTTCCCCTCTGTCCCTTGCTTCGAGGAGAACTCTATTTTTCTAGAAGTGAATTTGAATTTTTTTACCACGTATGAGGTCTTCCCATGTGTCCGCTGAGCTTTAGTTGTTCACTAGGGGCTTCTTCGTTGTTGAAGAAATCATCTTAGCATTGGCAGAGGTGTTTATCCTATTTTTTGTGAGCTGAAGGGTCTTGAGGGCTCGTTGACAGCTCATGAGCTGAAGAGCTCATCAAGAGTTTGTGAGCTGAAGGGCTTGTTGATAGCTTATGAG